ACAAAAGCTTGACTCTGTTACTTTTTGAAAAAATTATTTTGTCATTTTTTTTGGAAAAAATTGATTGTATCTCGTTCTCAACTTTTTTGCATGTATCCACTCTTTCCATCAACCTGTACTTCAGGAAACAATAAATAAATATGAACACATAAATAAATATGAATTTAAAGTGTAAACACAACACAAGTAAGCTATGAAAATTTAATTCTTCTAAATCATTTATTCCCAGAGGACATTTACATCTCATAGCTTCCAACTTTCATACAGATTTTCTTGTTGATGCCATGGAGAAATTGAGTGGACGAAAAATTGGGTGCGCCCTCAACAAATCTCTTACAACATGTATTTTGGAGGAGTCCAATGAAATCATAAGGGAGAACGGCGAAAGGGAGGACTGGGAGGGTGGGATGACGAATGAGGGTACTGAACTGGGTAAAAAGAGCAGGCAAAGAAAAAAAGAAATCGCGAAAAGATATCCGAAGATAGAATGAAAAAAGCCTTGCCTTTTATCCATCCGAAAAAATCTCAGACTTATAAATGGTAGAGAGCCGGTTTGTCAAACAGATACGGTAGAACAAGGTGTTCCCACATCATCAGTGCTATACGACGGTCACGTTTTCAGTCATTAGAAGTATGTGGTGGTTTCACTGACTACACAAAAACCCTGAGCACATTTTGAGATGATTTACAAGGGAATTGATGGGATGCTACGAGGAGTTTTTTCCGGTGGTTTACACCCGTTGAACATTTTCATCACCACTCCGAACAGGGTGCTGTTGGACAGGACAAAAAGTTTCGCCGACGACCAACCAACTGCTTATGGATTGTTGATTGGGCTAACAAAAAAAACGGCACAATTGACGGGGCCAGCACACACATACACAACGAACGCTATGCTTCACACACTGTTGAGCACGTACAATGCAGGAAATCGCATTCTTTTTCCCCNCCCCTTAGGGGTTGGCTATAGTCCATGGCTTCAGACGTTCGGTGAATGTGGGGTGAAAAAGGCTGGCAAGATCCCAGGAATTGTGGATATATTGAAGAGACGACAAATTCCGATTCAGCAAGCGATTTGGCAAGGCCCTACAGACCTGGAGATGGTAGGCCTCGACAACTTTGATGACACCTCAGACTCCGGTAAGTACTTCTTGAATACAGCTGGATTTCTTCTAATAAGTAGGAATTTTAGAGTCTGCTGCCCAATTAATTTTGATGAGATCCAATTAATATTGTGGAGTGTGGCTGTTACAAGGAGTGCAACTAAAACTTCCACAAAAAAAATTCAGTTTTAGTGAAAAAGATATTGGATGTAGTTGTCCTTTTCCTAAAATTTTCGGAAGAATTTCAATCATATTCTTCGACCATTCTTCGTCTGGCAGCTGGTAAGGAGAACTGCAACTCCAGCTCAAATGTTTACCGGGTGAGAACATTCTCATTCCCCTATTTCCACTGCTGGTTCCCGCTCCCGATACTGCAGAAAGTCTAACAGTTAGGGTTGCTTACTTTCACTCCCAGAAAGCCTAGCCTTTGGGAAAAAGTTTAAATAGGGAAATAAAGCACCATATTAANAACACTAACTCGTACACTGGCCGTGCCAACTTTCAAAAGAAGGGATTTCCTAAATTCAGTAAACACCATGGCACTGGAGAAGGACTTCGAAGGGCTTGACTACCATCAAACACGGGTATTAATAACTAGAGCATTTTCTATTCTTTGCTGATAAGGACCTGCCGGATAAAGCGTTAGCGTTATGCCGACATTCATATATTCAGTGGTTCAAAACAAAATCCTCTCCAATTGCTTTTCTGGTCCATCCAAGAACGTTCTTGCTGCTTGTGATGTATTGCAAACCGGAGAATGGTCATCACTCAAGTCCATCAGAAAACCTCTTCAGTAAAAGACAGCTATGCAGGGTCAGTGGAATTATGGGAAACTAAAAAGGATGGGAGAAGAAAGATAATGGAAAAAGCTTGGGCAAAGGATAAGATGGAAGACAGGAATATGAGATTGAGCAACTCGATCAAAGTAGTCGTGCAGTGCTATGACGTGACGAAGCGAGTCTTTCAGTCATTCTACGATTATTATGAGGGACCATTTACCCGTCCGTGAGAAGGTTAACCGTTCGATAGTTCATAAGGTACCTCTAACAATGTGGTTCGAATCGGAAGATGTGCCAGAAATCTGTCAGGTTGTACGGAAAGTATNNNACTAAAATTCCCCAAAAGAACAAATTTCTTCCCATTTGGAAACTTCTATGGGGGTACTGTGAGACGACACTACTCACTCGTATGTGCGTAACACACCAGGAGTTTTAAATGACATCTACCAAATCGAAATTCACCTTTGACCTTTTTGTTTCAGCCCATGAGGCATAGGAACGAAAGGTGCGGAGGACCGCTGAGAACCGTAGAACCCCTTGATTTCCTTTGCTAGGATGGACGTCATTTCATCTTTCCTCCTAAATACGGATTGATGCGGTTGTCTGGCTTACTTACCTACGAATGCTTACGGGTGCGGCAGAGTACAAGCTAGTGCTATTACCTACCTGGCCGAAGAAATCGCTCGACCAGTTCAAGAATTGTGAAAGGTTCATTTGGTCTTCGATGAATCTGAGTCGAAGTTTTGCCAAGGTGGGGAGCATAAAGGAATAAAAATCTATAGCATCTGAGGCG